GGCTTGCGTCTCGCATAGTGCGGTACTCCCCGCGTGTAGGCCTCGAGCACAAGTATCATGGGTCGCCAACTAGCAAAACGACGCGTAAGTTGTTGTTACGCAATCGGTTACTGCTAATACGTTTGCATAACATTGCATTCGGCTACTGTGTTCTCCTTCAATTGCAGTATGGTATGTTTGTGTGATACATGGAAGATCGTGACTTATTTACAAATAGTTTTAATCTTAAGGTATGCGATTAGCACATGGATTATACAATCGGAGTATATGGACGCCTCTGGAAGGCTAATGATGGGGACTTCTATGGGGTGATCAACAAATACAGACTTCAAATCGTTTTGATTAAAAATTTGCAAGTGGCTTTTGCAAGTGAGACTGTAAGCATTCCGTTTTAAATCTCGGTTATTAGTATTCTATTTCTGGCCAAAAGTACCTCGTACAGGTGAGAAGTGTCAACTTTATTAACGGCCTCTGTTAATCCATTAATTTTATTCTGGGTCTGCGTTTTTCTTACAGCCTGCCGGTTATTTGAATCAATTAAACGTGCCTTGGACACTTCTAGCATATCGAAGTTGGCCGCATCATGTGTGCCCGCAATTACTTTGAGTGCGGTGCCAATGAAGTCTAGGCTCCTGGCCATCCTATGGTGTATTTTTAAGACAGACAATAAACTTCTAACAAGTTCGGTATCTACGTCTTTTTTTTTTTAAATACTTAAATTTGAAAAAAACTCACAAGAAAACTAAACAACAAGAAAGGAAAGCTAACTTCGGTCGGAGCCGAAGTTTATATACCCATACAGTTAAATCCGGATATATATCGCAAACATCGGATATAGTTGGACGATCTTTATGAGAATATGATAATATAACCCAATTTACTATAATACAAAATTTAAAACAAGTCCCAAACATCTAACTTTAACAATACCAAAGTTGGTATATCTACCAAAAACCATTTCCGATCGTTCAGTTATATGTCAGCTATAAGATATGGTCGGCTGATCGTGAAATTTGGTAGGTAGAATTATCTGACCAAAAATAGAATCTGTGTGAAGTTCCAGATTTCTTTCTTCAAAAACACGAAAGTTAAGTCATTTCTGATCGTTCAGTTATATGGCAGCTATAAGATATAGTCAGCCGATCCAAAAATATCTCTCACCTAAAATTTGAACTCTCTAACTTTAAAAACACCAAAGTTATACCATTTCCGATCAATCAGTTATATGGCAGCTATAGGATATAGTCGGCCGATCCGGGCCGTTCCGACTTATATACCGCGTGCAAAAGAAAGAAGGGTGTGTGCAAAGTTATAAGACGATAGCTTTAAAAATCTGAGAGACTAGTTTGCGTAGAAACAGACAGACGGACATGCTCATATCAACTCAGGAGGTGATCTTGATCAAGAATATATACTATATATATACTTTAATAGGGTCGGAGATGTCTCCTTCACTGCGTTGCACACTTTTGGACAAAATTATAATACCCTCTGCAAGGGTATAAAAACCGGTTATAAACCATGCATTCGCGAAAAAATACTTTTATTATAATTTACCTTTCGGTCAACCCTCTCATTATTAAGGGGTTATAAACAGTTGTACCGCGCAAAAATGTACATGTTTCTGGGTACTTAATTAAATTTTTTCATAAAAAAATATAAAAAATATAAAAAATAAAAAAAATATACTTAACAAAAATTTTATAGCCGAATTCCCGGTTTTTATATAAAAGAATTTTTTCCATGGTGTCTTGCGGTGGACAACATTTCTCAAAAACGGTTCATCCGAAATCCAAAATTCAAAAAAGTTTAGTTAGTATATTGTATTGTCTAGTCCGTGAACGAGGGATTTTTAAAAATTTTGATTAAAAAAAATGGCGACGTTTTTAACGAAAAATGTATTTTTTCAAGGTATAAGATTTTCGTTTTTTGTGCGTTGAAAAAAGAGTTTTCAAAAAAATTAAAAATCCCTCGTTCACAAAAAAATATAAAAAATATAAAAAATAAAAAAAATATACTTAACAAAAATTTTATAGCCGAATTCCCGGCTTTTATATAAAAGTATTTTTTCCATGGTGTCTTGCGGTGGACAAGATTTCTCAAAAACGGTTCATCCGAAATCCAAAATTCAAAAAAGGTTAGTTAGTATATTGTATTGTCTAGTCCGTGAACGAGGGATTTTTAAAAATTTTGATTAAAAAAAATGGCGACGTTTTTAACAAAAAATGTATTTTTTCAAGGTATAAGATTTTCGTTTTTTGTGCTTTAAAAAAAGAGTTTTCAAAAAAATTGAAAATCCCTCGTTCACGGACTAGCTAATATCAAAATTAATAAGTGGTTAAAATTTGGTGTTGATCAGATTAGTAGTTTTTTAGTAATCATGTCCACCGCAAAGGTAATTTCCCAAAAAAAAGATTCTGAGATAATAGCGTTTAAAGTTTCAAGTTTGTTCAAGTTTTATATGCAGATAGTGCGCTATAAATAGCTACAGCTTCGGTTCTAATGCTCCGATCGTTACGGTTTCAAAGCAAGAGAATGCCCATGAGCAGTGCTGCCAACTTTTCTGGACAATAAAATGCTAAAGTAACTTTGAAAACCTGCTAGACAGCACGTGCTGAATTTAAAGAAAACCAGAAAAAAGACATTTTAGTTTGGTGTAGTTTTGATGAATATTTTTGAATATTTTGAACATTGAACTGATAGAAAATTATTGAGCTCAATGAAATCGATATTTCCCTCAGCAGTGTACGAGTTGTTTGTACCAATCATGTCATGATCATGTTCAAGTACTTTTAAGGCACTTCGAAATTGTGGAAACATTTAGTTGCCCGTCGCAATCCATAACTGTGAATATACAAGTATATTAATTAATGTATAATAAGAAGTTTTTCGGGTCAAGCAGCAAGCAACTAGTTTCAATAATTAATTATTAGCCTAAGCATTGTTGGTCGCAAGCCGACTCCTTTTCGGCCGCTCGGCTTTAACTAATTCGGCATCTAAAGCTAGCGAGCATCCGCTCAGCACATTATCGAACGTCTGCGTCACTCTAGTTCGTTGTCTTATTTCGCTCGCACCCTAAATTGGATTTCACAAATATCTATATATATAAAAGAAAGTCGTGTTATGTTACACCACTTATAACTCAAGAAAGGCAGAAGATTTTTGAGTGAAAATTGGTAGGGAGGTAGCTTATAGCCAAGAGACGGACGTAGGATACTTTTTATCCCGTTCGACAGTTCCTCCCGTGCCCATACTTTTTTATTTAGGCAGACAGCTAAGAAGAAAATGTCAAATGAAAATGTCAAAATGTCAGTTAGAAACTAAGTCAAATTCAAAGTCAGGCTCTCAAATTTAACAACGAACCAAAAGGATTGTGTTGCGCTTCCGGGAAAGTGAAATTGCCTCAACTTGAAGCACCACCAGAGCCTCTGCACTCTCTATTGTATTTGTAAGAAATCAATATTAAAACTATTTCTATTAAATAAATAATTAACAAGTGGATTGAAGTGAAGTGAAGTTTAGTTAATAATGCCGCGACCAAGACGATCGAACCTTTCCCGACAAAGCCGTAATGCAAGAAGAATACAAAATACTGCATATGAAAGGACTGAAGAAGAACAAGAAATTGCGCCGCAATAGTATGCTTCTCAAATAGATTTTAATTTGCGACGCAGAACAAGATATTTAGCCGATTTGAATCGAGCTGCGTTTCGATACGATTGCAGCAATGATTACAGCTTGCATCCTAGCGTTTGCATTGGGCAAATGGACGTTGTTTGCGAGTATTGTGGTGCATTAAAGTTTTCCGGAGAAACGCCTGGATTATGCTGCGTTAATGGTAAAGTGAAATTGCCAGTGTTGACTCCGCCACATGAGCCATTGTATTCATTGCTTTGCGGCGAAACACAAGAATCACGCCACTTTCTTGCAAATACTCGAAAATACAATAGTGGTTTCCAAATGACGCCATTTGGGGCAGACATTATCGAAGAAGGAGGTTTTAATCCGACATTTAAGGTATTTATTTTTGTACTTACATAGAATGTAGTTAAAGAATCTGGTTTTTATTTTGTAGATACAAAGACAGATTTACCATCGAATTGGATCATTACTACCTTTCGAAGATACACAGAATAAATTTTTACAAATATATTTCATGGGCAACATGGTAGAACCACTTGATCGACGCCTAGGGATCAATGCAGGAATGAAGCGAGCAATTCTTCAAGACTTGCAGTGTCTGCTTCATGAACATCATGCGCTGGTCAGGTTGTTTAAGAGTTGTCATTGAACATTTAAAATAATCCAGATGCAGTGTGCAACATAAAAACAATCGTCTATGGGCATAGTGCCCATATTTTGGATGAATGCACTATAGGTCGTAAAATTGGAATGGGGAATTGGATTGGTCATTTAGGGATATAAGAAACAATGATAAACTACGGCCCTTTACGGCCCTTTGTTACTCCTTTTAAGGTGTTCACGGTTAACGGACGCTGATGAATTCAATGCTTGCTTAAAATCATCGCGACTGTGGCGTAATGTTGAACAAGAACTGACCAAGAATAAGCGCGATCAAATGCGTCAGGATCCACCCTTTCTCTAAACAACTGTTAGATATTGGCGAGGGGAATTTTGTGGTACATAAAAATACTGGATCTACTTGAAATACTGAAAAATATTTATTAACCAAAATAAATGAAGAAAAAACAGCTAGCCCTTATAGAAAACAAAAAAGGGCAAAACAACGTTTGCCGGGGTTGCTAGTTTGAAATATAAAAATTAAATCATATTAATTCAATAGCTATCTTGTAAGTTAGCTAAATTAGTTAAATAAAACTATTCATTTAGCTTAATATGCTGATTGGAAGAATATATTACTTACATAGATTTCAAATATTTTATACCCACTTCAAGTGTGAAATCACTTCTATCAATTTCTTGACGCTTTGTAAATTTTTGTCTTAAATTTATTTTTTACTTATATTGATATATTTCAGGAGCTCATATCGATATGACTAGAAGTTTATTGTATCTGGATAGTTTAAGAGAGATCGACTGACATAGCCTCTATTATAAATGGTAAATAAATGTAGTTCTAAATATAATTTATTCAATAAAATAATATAAAACATATAATATAAAAAAGCGACCCCAAAAACATATGGTAAACATGATGAGCCCAGAACTCGGAAAACAAAAATTTTATCAAGTTTTTGAGGTTATGTCGTTACCCTGACATTCTGGAGTTTTTTAGACCTCGGATTCGGATTCAGCGACCCTGAAAACATATAATAAACATGTTCTGACCCACGGACTCCAATATAATTTTCTATGAGGTTTTTTGAGGTTATGTCAGAACCCTGACGTGCTGGGGTTTTTTGGACCTCGCACTCGGATTCAGCGACCCCGAAAACATATAGTAAACATGGTCTGACCTCCAGACCCGAAAAAATATTTTATTTTTGTGTGGCTGTGTAATGATTAGTGTAATGTTTATTTATTGAGGCTTACGTTTGTACAAAGCGCTTAGTTGGTCGTAAGCCGACTCTCTCTCGGCCGCTCGACTCAACGGACCTTTCTTAAGAGAGTTTTAGCTCCGCAATGCCTAGGTCGGGCCGCCATCTCCATTATCGAGAGCTTTAGCTTCGCGTATGACTAGTCGGGCCGCCCTCTCTGTACAATTACTTGAGTCCCTGCATGCACCATAAGCTGGTCTATCTGCTAATCATCCGGCTTCATCTGCATGCAGGAATAAACATTTATAACGTTTTAAATTACATAAATTCGTCTTTTATGTTGGTGCGGATTACGGCATTGAAAACAATGACCGCAATGACCAAACACAACCTTTTCGTTGTATTGGCTCCTTCAAGTACGCTGGAAATGATCGTCAAACCATTGTTTTTCTGCCGTGTATGTTGTGTCAGAGTTAATTTGATCGAGATCGAAAAAAACCTTCACCAGAGAATCCAGATTTTGTCATCAGACAAATAGTCCAATGGTTGACACATGTGACATTGTTTCACAGCTATGGCTAAACACGATTCATCCCAATTGAGTGAGATGAGCAATAGGTTGATTTGTAGCTTTTTTCCGTAAATCTGGCAGCAACAAATATGGTATTAGATCTACTCCGAATAAAGAGTCGATACGACCTCGCCTGGTAAAAGTGGAATCGGCCAAGCGTATTCCCTGAAGATGCTCACATGTATCCACGTTGACATTGCTTCTTGGTAAATAAGATGTTAGAGTTGAGGACATACGTCGGTCGCACCAGATGGTGAAATTAAGCATAAGCTCATGTACCAAGCTTATGGAGAATTTTGTACTAAACCTGGTCGTCTTTAAATAGTTGCCGATCCCAGTGATCTGAGCTGTGACCCGGTGAGGCGAAAGTCCCAGCAGCTGAGTGACTCAGATCGATGATTAAAGTGCCCTCAGAGCCATGATCGATCGACTAAAGGTGTGGCCAATGAAATTGAATGAGTCGACTGGGCGGCAGGGGCCATCAGTACTGTAAGGGAATCGGGAGATTAAAGAGGCTTGTCGACTTGTTCATTGCTGCGTACTGTACAGCCGGTTGTGTTCCAGTATAAATCGTGGAGAAGTGAAGCAGGGTATGGTGAGGATTTCCGCATTGTAAAGAATTTTTTTGCGGCGATAAGGGATGAGTGATGCTAAGGCAATTTCGGCATACCTTTGTATGATCCAAAACTTGTTTGCTGGCAAAGCAATCTTTAGACAGAAAGTTAGAACATCGCCGCAAAATGTGGGGGCCCATGCAGTTTTTGCAAGAGATGGGACCGCTGGTTCTTGTCGTGGAGCGCGCTGCTTGTAGTAGCCGGAACTCTTTTGCTTGGGATTATGTCGTTGGTAATTAGTCGACTTGTTGATCGCTGAGTTTTGAGTGGGTTGAGAAGATTTCCGGTTCTTAATGATGTTCATGCTGACGAAGTTTTCCAAATCTACGATACTCGGAATGTCTCGAGAGTTCCCCAAGGTATGCTCTCAGGTGTGTAAAGTTTCCGTAGGCAGTCTTTTGATTAAATGATGGACTACCCGTTGCGTGAAAGAATGGATGTTTGTTTTTTGACGGTTGAGTTTGATGCATGAATTGTAAACGTAGGTTATCATAGCGTTTAATGACAAGGTCTCATGTGATCCGTTTTGGTTCATTTGGTTTACATCTTTGACCTGCTCTTAAAACAATACTTGCTTGAGGAAATAAAACCGCTGAACATTTGATAACGCCTGGTTCTGGTGAACCAAATTGCATACTTTCCAGAAAAGTTTGGTACTAAAAACTTTGGAAGGTGGACTGCCGCCACAGGGCCGAATATTTTAGGAACAGGCGTTGCTTATTGCTTGGCACACGTTGGAAGCTGGCTGGGTAAAAGTGTGGATTCCGTGGATATTAAAGGGAACACTTTGATACATTTCCCTTCGAACTGGTTTATTTTATTTTTGTAATAATAAAAAAAATGTTAGGCAAGGTAAATAAACGTTGTTTATTTCATAATAACGATGAAGCAAAAAGCAATATCATGTTTCTTAATAGCTGTGAGGAACAAACCTTGTATGGTTGAGTTAGGTGCTGTGTTAGGTCGAGTAAGGACCCACAGGAGATCCTTATTGGAATAAATTTATTTTTTATTTATAATAAATTAAGACATAAACTGTCTTTTAAAATTGGAAATCACATGTCAATATCATAAATAATATATGTAAATCTGAAAAATTTTCAAACTTGATTTGCCGTTAGGTCAATTTAGCTAAATTATGCAATATAGGTCTCCAGCACTGTTTTAACTCAGTAGCTTCAAAAGTATCCAAGAAAAATGCATAGAAATGCATTGAAGCAGTGATCGGCACCTAACACATTGATGATATTTAAACACATTAGTATTAAAAACGAAAAGCAGAAAGTAGGCTGCAAGCATAGCGTTTCACACATTTATACTGTTTGTATGGCAGAGCTCGGGCAGAGAAATTTACTATGCCCGCGGGATAGAGCCATGCCGACCACTGCATTAAAGGAATATAAATTTAATCTGATAAATAAAATCTAAAAGATCTAAAATTACCCGTATCTCATAGATTAATCATTGTTTGTTTTTTTTTTTTGTAGTTTTTATATCTAATAAACAAAATTCTCTAGACCATGATACAATTATACAAGGTAGTCCATTCCACTGACATATTGTTCGAGTTTGGTCCCTTAATTTCAAACTGTCAAATTGAAAGGTGATTTTTTTTTTCAAAACTTTAACCTTTAAGTGGCCAAACAAAAAAAATGACTTTTTGCAGTTCTGGTCGCAAGCACGTACTAGGCGTAAAGTTTGTTTTTTTTATTTTTTTAAACTAAAAATTTTAAACAGACATTGTTAAACGCCGCTGAGCAGGTTGATATTTGTGTAAATATAAAAAAAAAATATTTTAAGATATTTACATATATACATTAGAAATAAGAACTTAATCAAGAGAATGGCTGTCCAAAAACAAAGAATTATATCAAATTCAAAACTAATTAAAACAAAATTATAAACACTACAACTCTTGTCATAACTAAGAAAAACTTTTAGCCCCATGCCCCGTGTGAGGGTTAATCAAAGTACTTTATAGCCGTTTCACTTGCACTATTCAACGCTTACTATGTTAAAATTTAAATAAGAGACTTAAGTCAACGAATGGACTACCTTGTATAATTGTATCATGCTCTAGAGTCTAGACTATGTAAAATACCAGTGACGGTATACCAATTTCGTGACGAAAATGTTTTAAATAGGTATATAACATTTTAAATTACAAAATTTTCTTAGACGGCACGAGGCTTAGTTACATTACATTTTTTTATTTTTCACGTACAAAATAGGAATACTTTTATACCCGGTAATGTAAGACTTTTGAAAAACTTTTGATGCCAAATTTGTATAAATTTATTTTCTATTAACTATATAAAAAAATTATAATTATTATATCTAAAAAACAAATTTTATCCAAATCGGCTGATTTTTAAAGGAGATATTCCCATATACATACCACTTCCCATACAAACGGGATAAAATTTTGAACGCGTGGGTCTCGAAGACTTTAAGAGATGGAGCTATCCGATTTGCAACTTGGACTCGCATAGTATTCGTGGAGATCAAGTTTGTGTAAAAATTTTGCCACGCCCACTCCCTTCTCTATAACAGAAATCTGGTTGTAGCGCCAGTTCGTCATTGTATTTTGAAATTTTTTTATGCCATAATGTTCCAATAGTTAATCTACACTATATCAGGCAAATCGTATAATTTTTAGAGGAGATGTGAATTTTTTATTCAGCTTCCCTACTGAATCGGTAGTATGGCCGTAGGTATTAGTAGTGGGTTTGCCAAGCTTTTTTGCTCAGGCACAAGGCATTTCAGGAGATCTAAAAATTGCGCTTGTATTAAAGACAAATTTTGGCTTCCTTTAAGAAAAACGTTATGGATATGTATCATTATATTTTAAAAGTTTTGGAAAATGGCGGCGAGTGCTTGAATATTTTAGACAATTTAAAATGAGATGTGAAATATTTTCCACTGGATTGCATGTGTCGCAAATAGCATAGTCAAAAACATTCATTTTTGATAGAGTGTACTTATCGAACGCATGTTTGCTAAAGATTCTATTTAATCGTTTTGTGTCTATACGGTCGAAAATATCCGTGTTATAAATCCAAGGTTTTTTGGTCATGAAAGGCCTAAAGTTTGAATAGCCCTTATTACGTTCCATAGAGAATACGTTATAGTCTCTTTCCCAATCATCTTGAATATAATGAAATATATACATAGTTGATCGCATCATTCAATGTCCATATAACATATTTAAAGGAGCCGTGTATAGAAGCGTTCTTTGCTGCTCTATCAGCAATTTCGTTTTCCCAACTAATTGGGTATGTGGTGAACTACAACCTTTGAAAGCATACAAAAATTTTCTATTTTGGAGAATATTTCCTGGGCAATATAATTGCTGGAGCAGTTATTTTGTAGAGCTTGAATAGCGCCAGACTTTCCTTCAGTATGTCTATCTTCGGAAAGCAGTTGGAAATTGCAAAA